AGGGAGGGAGGAAGGAAGGAAGGAAGGAAGGAAGGAAGGAAGGAAGGAAGGAAAGGAGCTAGGGTTAGGGTTCTCTTCTACCCTTAAAAAGTTGTGCTGGTTCTTGATATGGTGGAAGAGGAAGGCAGAAAGATCCTCTACAGCAGGAGCTGACTGTCCAATGGAGAGACCACCAACCATCTCTCCTCTTGTGCTACCAGTTTCATAACACATTTATACTGTATGTGTGGTTATATTTTCCCTTTAACACACAAACATATATTTAATATATTTAATACACAAACATATATTTGGCGCCTAAACCTTAGAGAAGATGGTTGTCTGACATATGGAGAAAGAACCAAGACGATGACTGAAGCCACACTGGAGTGGGCCGGTAGAGGTATTCACCTGTTTGTCTTGTGCAGGTGAAGAAGCTGAAACCAATCCTGAGAATGAAGGTGCCCCTTTCCTTAGGGCCCTCTTGGGGATCATCTAATGCAGGGGTCCCCAAACTTGGCAACTTTAAGACTTGTGAACTACAATTCCCAGAATTCCCCAGCCAGCATGTTGCCAGGTTTGGAGACCCCGGTCTAGTGAAAGGGCGTAACTCCCCGAATTCCCGGCCATCCTAGTCTCATTTCTGGAAAGGGGTTCTTTCCCATGCGCTCCAAAACAGCTGGCAAGCTGACCCTCACCAAGCCCCCATGGCTATTCCCGGCCCGCTATGGCCCAAAGGGACCCTTTAAAATTCATCAGAGCATCGTGGCAGTTTTGCCTTTGGAAGACAAGGCTTGCTTGAGCCTCCTTTTCAGTTCCTGCATGTTGGGCGATTTGGGGCGGATGAGGTGGAGGCCCCTCCGCTTCTCCCCGTTGCAGTTCCCAATGATCCGACTCAGTTCCTGGCACAGCTGCTGGAAGGCCTCGTGGACACCTTCGAAGTTCTCCCGCGCAGAGACCTCCGAGTACGGGCAGCCCAGCTCGTTGGCAAGTTGATGGCCTTCCTTGGTGGACACCTGCCTGGCCCGGAGCAGGTCCCCTTTGTTGGCCATCAGCAGCAAGGGGATGTTGGCATTGGGGTGGATCTTCCGGATGTGCTGGTGCAGCGGGCGAATGACGCGGTAGCTCTCGTAGTCCGTGATGGAGTAGACGAAGACGAAGCCGTCGGCCCAGTAAATGGACCGGTTGATCTGCTCCTGGCAACAGATGGTGTCATTCTCGTCCTGCCACCAAAAACCAGGAGGAAAGAGCTAAGTGCCAGTCGACAAAAGGTCAAAACCAGAGCTAGGCCAGAGGGTGTTGAAGGAGCCAGTGGCTGAGTTACTAGAGGTAGTCCCTGACTTACAACATTTCTTCAAAGTTACAATGGCACTGAAAACTGTGACTGAAGACCGTTTTTCACACTTGGGATCCAGTATCCCTGTGATCACCTGATCAAAATTCGGACATTTGGCAACTCACATTTATAACAGTTGTAGCTGATCACGTGATCCCCTTTTGCAACCTTCTGACAAGCAAAGTCAATGGGGAAACCAGATTCACTTAACAACCAGGTTACTAACTTATCAATTGCAGTGATTCACTTAACAACTCTGGCAAGCAAGGTGTTCTGCCCCACTAGGGTTCCCCAGAAAGCACTAAGCCAACTCTGAGTCCCGGCAAAACCTCTTTTATTCAATGAATGTGAATTTAGTGCATTCACATTCAGCCAATGGCCTGGCAAACACTCTTGCAAAGGTATTGTAATTAGCTCAGACCTTATCTAGCTTGGAGAGCAGCCAAGTAAATATTTCCACATGCAGTGCTAACAAGGAAGGGCTCAGCACAGAGTCTCTGAGATGCACAGGCAGATCTTCACAAGGCTGGAACAAAGAAACAAATTGTTTCCTGCAAAAGCCCCCCTCCCCTTTTGCTCTTTTAATCCTGATGGGAGGGGCCATTCATCGTCCACCTGTGGCCTTACTCCCACATCGACCCTGAGTTCCTAATTGTTCCTTCCTTTCGGCAGCTCTGCGCATGCACAGGCTGGGAACCAGTTCCAGAAGCTCCCCTGCCTCACTGTTGTCTGAGCCTGAAGGCAGCTGATGACTATCAGACGGCCCTGGCCCCATCTCTGCCTCTGATGCAGAGCCTTCTTCTGAGCCTTCCTCAGCCTCCAGGCCTGGCCCAGGTTCCTCACTACTGTCCGACTCTGCTTCCAGCTCCGTCAGTCGCTGGTGGGCCCACAACAAAAGGTTGCAAAATGAAGCAAAACTGACTTAATAAAGGTACCACTTAACAACAGAAATTTGGGGCTCAACTGTGGTTGAGGGCTACCTGTGTAACACAGCAACCCACAAACTATGGTGGACAACCACAACTGACTGAACAAACCTAGTTTGGATGAAACAAATCACAGTGTAGAGTAAGATAAAGCATGGATCTAACTCAAGTATGTTTCCTCTGACAGATGCGAGAATGTACGTGCTGGGAGTTTATCGTATTCCCACGAAGTTCAGACTAGCTTTTTTGATCACATTTGACTTGATTTTTTTTGTTTTATTCCTCAACTTTATCTCTGTAACCCTACAGTCGATGGCAGCCCCTAAGGCCATGTTTCTCAACCTTGGCAAGTTCAAAGTGTGTGGTTATTGCAGCCAGGCCCGTTAGGAGTTCTCTGTGGAGCCCAGCTGCTGAGTCAGCATCTATGGCAGAGGTCTCCAAACTTGGCCAGTTAAGACTGGTGGACTTCAACTCCCAACAGGCC